TACATTTATTTATATGTGTGTGTATCTATATATATATATATATATATATTTATATATATATACATACATACATGTAAAATGTGATAATAGAAATAATAACCCATAAAACCGAGAGCATTTGGTCTAACACGTGACCGAATGTCCTTTCGTAAAAGTTGCTATATTAAGCATACAGGAACAAATGTATTGCTAGCACAAATCTAGCCACAACGTAAGTAGAAGGGAAAGAGAAAAGGAAATGGGAATGCGATGTTGTATGCGTAACTTGGAAGCATTTGGAAACTTAGGTGCAACATGGAGCTCTGCCTTTAGAATTGGCTAAATCAAAGGGTATTAAGAGTATTTTTTACTGTAAAATTTCTTGGAAACTAATTCGAATTAAGGTCCGTTTATCTATGTGATGGCTTTATACGATTTCTTCGAATTTTCTCGATGTGAAATACAACATCACTGCTTTAGTTTGGATGTGCCCTTCCGAAAATTCTATCGATTCATGATAAGCAGATAAACGTGCGTTCTTTTTCAGTTTTTATCAACTTATTTCAACACTTTTGTTTGGTTATTTTCACCCACAAAGATTGCGAAAAAAAGCAACCTCGTTCTCCTTTAAATCGACATAAATTTCCCATCCCTCAGAAGAACCTCTTCTTTGGTTTTCTTCTGCTTCAGAACAACGTTGAAAGATTGAGTTCAGAAAAAGTAAGTTAATTAAACAAAACTTGAACCTTCCGCAAAACCAAGCGCGCTCAAAACCAAGTGCGTTGCTCAAACTGATGGCTTCCGCGGTTTAATTGTAAGCACATTTGAAGACAGCTTTCAGAGTCAGAATAGATTATTGTTTTGAATCTCAGAACTCAATAAGTACTTCCTGATATTGTATGGTTTCTAAAACAAGAGCATAACTCTCCTTTGACAAAATTGGTTTTCCAAAGTCGAACTTCACCTTGAATTAAATGTCATTGATGAGCCGACAACGTCTAAGGTGGGACGGAGTATTATGGTGTCCGAAATCTAACAGAGACGAAAAATATGACGCGGCCAGATTAATACCTTGCAGAGGAAGTTAAACTGGATAGAGTGTCCATCTGAACAAGGTCCCAAATGAAACGGAGCCCTACATCGGAAGTGTTCAAGTAACGGAATTAAGAATCTGATTTCAACAAACATCAAATGAAAAACTGAATGCCAGAAAATGCCAATCATGTGAAAATTGGAATGCGCGCGGAAGAAGCGGTGGATTGCAGTATGAATATCGCTCTTACGGTCTTGAATCGCAACTCACGATTGGTGTATACTATTCGTAGTGTGTCCATTATTAACGTGTCGAGTTTGTCTCATCCTCCAGCCGTAAATAACAAGGTTTAGTGTTGAATTGAAGAACATAAGCGTATGTCTGTAAAGTGAAAAACTAGTTCTTACAATATTGGGGCCGATAATTATACGGGCATCCAAAAGGATAAAGCGAGGGAAATATCAAACCAAGAACGCAAAGTAAACGTATAAAACACCGACAGCGGTTTTCATGATGGTTGCCAAGTTCCTCATCTCGCTATTTTGTCTAGCTTGTGCCTCTAGTTCTCGTAATTGCTGAATTTGCCTTTTGTGGCGTCGTGTAATGAAACAGATCTTGCAATAGATTGCTGTAGTGACGAGAAGGCAAAAGGTTCCAATACCTGACATGATTGCCGTGAGTAAAGTATGAGGAACGAGGAATAGTGTTAAGGTTGAAAATACAGCAACCCTTGTGTGAGTCCCAAGTGCTTGGTATCTAAGATGAAGTTGAACTGCTAAGAGTCTGTCCGCGCTAATGGCCACGATATTGAAGAACGAAGCAATGGAAAACAACCCGATGACAAATACGAATCCTAAGTAGAAGATACAGTCTGGATTATGTAGCTGCAACCATTTTATAAAAAAATGAGACAAAAAAGGGCTCCACCATCAAGCCAGCAGTAACATCAGATACAGCAACAATCAGCAACAGTTTTTTAAAGGTTTCGGCATGGCAGACGTTTTTGCAATTGCATAGATTGTGACAACGTTTAACGTGATAGCTGTGTAGCGATAAAACTGTTAAAAACGCAGTTGACGATAAGAGTCCAATGGAGATTTTCAAACTCGGAGATTTTGGGGTAACTCTTGAGCAATATTTCACAGTTTTGATTCAGCCAAGATTCATTCAAAGATGTTGAAATTATTTATTGAAAAAAAACATCCAAAGAGAACCTCAGCCAATCAAATGCAGCCATTTGAAAGTTATGATACCCCTATGTTTATCAGTGATTTATCAGCTGTGCTATTACACTGTTAACAAAAAGAGCTCTGAAATCAGGTCAATTGAATTAGTTGTCTCTGCTTTTCTTTAGATTAATTTTTAATATACTCTTAACTATTGCACTTAATTTGTAAACCGTTCCTCCTATCAATGACGTTCTGCGTCTTGGCGAATTAAGATTATTTTTCAATATTACATTTCGTGGACACTGACTCAAAGGTAGAACTTTTCATCAGGAAAATTACATCATAGAATGTCTTTGAAATTTCTCTCGATAAAATAATGAGGCGATGTACTTTTGAGTGCGGTGAAGAGACCGCGAAATATTACCCTTAGTCATACTGGTTTTGTGTCACACTCGACGAATGAATTCGAAGTTGATAGCTGTTGTATTTTATTTTCATTCTAGAGCTATTGACAATGCCAATTGTGTTAATTAAATAATTGCATGCTTTTATATTATCTTTAATGTACGTCAAATCATCATGTGCGGTATCCAAATTAACGAAAAGGGCATCGTTCTTAGAAACGCTTTAGAGATTAGAAGGAAAAGACAACAGCTGTTTACTTCAATATCATACTGAAAAACCTGAGATAAAGAAAGAGAGAAAAAACTTTTCGTCACGTTTTTTCTTTTCCTAACAAGCCTCGTAATTTTATTTCAATTCATTGTAGTTGCAAAGAGACTTGTCCTGTTTCCCCTCCCCCCGAGGGAAAAGTCGGAAAGCTTTCTACTCGAGCATAGTGATGACTTCGTTGAAAGTGCAAGCCTTAACTATTTCTGTTTTAAACAGACCTCGTAGGTGCGCCAGTATTATTTCACGATTACTCCATACGGTTCACTGGCAGTTGACAGTGTGATTTAAAGAGACGTCGCTCTATTGCAAGTTCGCCGCCTTTCGGTTCGCCCATCAACAAGTATTCGCCACTTCACCAAAAAGCTGCTCAAATGATCTGACTGGGGGGTGGTGGTTTAACGATTGTCACAACTCAAATTTGAACAGGCAGTTCATGGGGAACACAAAAGCTTACACTGGTATTGGCTGGGTTCGATTTAAACATAATCTCTCCTTAAAGTTTGTAGAAATGAAAATGAGAGCTCAGTCCTTCCTGAAAGAAAAAGAGGATGAAAGGGAGAAATTAGACAAATCTTATTTTGCACAAATTCGTGAAACAAAACATGTAATGCGTAACTGTTTCGTCGACAAATACAAGAGCTAAACCATTATGCCTCGCACTAAATAACTAACATTATTATATCTTTCGGATTGTACTTGGGCTATGATTGGTCAAACTTAGCGGGCTGTATGTCACTGTACGGCCCCCTAAACTCAAAGGCTTGTGGTTAAAACCACCTTAAAGAATATAATGAACTGAAACACATGAAAAAAACTTCTCGGTGGCTTTCATTTGAATGGTCAAACGCTAGTGTTAGATCTACAGACTTTTAAACTACTTCGTGGTGCTTGATAAACAGTGCACATGGAAGAACTGCTAAATAGCTTTCATTCGAACAGTCAAAATACAGGATATTATCCGGAACCACCTTACGCTGCATGATAAACTGTACCGCATTAAAATACTACGCTGAAGCTCTCATTTAAATGGTCAAACACTAAATTGTCATCCATACTAAGCTAGAACCACCCAGCACCTTTCATTTGAATGGGTCTTATTCACGGGCGTAAAGGTAGGAATCCCTTCTCACCTCATTGCAAACAGTACCATATGGAAGTTCTGTCCATTTACATTTATATGATTGCACATGTGGGTGATTCCATAATATATAGCACCACATAACATTTTTGTCGAGTATAATGGCACCAGATTCAGAAGGGGTATTCTTATGCGATGAATTTCTAGGGTTCTGCTTTTTTCAATACAGCCTGAATTCAAGATTCTCTATTTGCAACAGTGCACAAACCTTAACCAGCAGATTATTTAGAGAGAAAATTAAGGAAAATTATTTTGTTTATTCATTGGCTGAGTGGCGAATGGCTTTAATTTGCTTCCGAGTAGCTGACAGATGGAGCAAAACTTTTGACCAATCACTTTACGATGTAAAGCAAAACTATTACGAACCATGACACCGCTCATTTGCAGACTTCTTTTGACTTCTGGACGAAATAAATTTATAGTCCTGTCATTTGCCTATTAATTGTTTTTTTATTCTTTCTTTACCTACTGACCCTAACAGGCGAAAGTCTTTCATATTCAAACACAATATTGCATTTTTCACTTTAATTTACATCTATTAATGATACAAAAAAACCAGCCCTCATTTTTAATTTACAACAGCCGTCAACATAAACAATAGTCAAACTTCCTGTATTCTTTTCGTTTAAGTGCTTTATGCGGAATAAGTGTTTAATAAAATGTCTTATCTGTATCTCTTTCGGTTGGAATATGTAAAAATATTGTGTCTTTAAAGATGTCTTCCGTGTATTCAAACGAATTTATTAATAGGGAAACATATTTGAAGCGCTCTTTAATATAACTGACTATAATGTTTCGTTTATTCATGTTGATAGATGAAAAATATGTTAATGACAGATTTTCTTTAAATCACTTTTTTTTAGGTATAAATCCCATGTTTAGTTGGAATGTCTTGAAGTATTAAACAGATAATTTGTTTTAGTTCTAACTAACGCCGAGTTAAAGCGGTACCCGATGCTTTTTGAAAAAAATTCAAATGCCGGAGTTGAAGCCGGGGACATCTTGACTGTTCGTACAGATGGCTTTGATTGTGTTACATGCTTGTGATTGACAGCTACATATGACTTAAAATTTTCCGTTTAGAATTGGAGAATATCAGAGCCACAGAAGTTTTAACACTCAGCTCTCATGGCGGAAAACGTTTGCGACCATCTCAACAAATCCTCTTTCGGAACCTCTCTGTATTTTAAAGATTTTCGTCCAGCACTTGTTGCTAATTGTGTCTTCAACAGCTTTTTGTGTTATGCAAACATCATTTTGAACATCGTAACCATCCATGCGATAAGGAAAACTACGTTGTTGCCAAAACCTTTGAAAACATTACTACTGAGCCTGGCTGCCTCCGATGTTGGCGTCGGTTTGTTGGCACAGCCGCTCCATATTTCTATTCTAGTCGGCTGGTTAAATCAAAAACGTATCGACTGCATTTCCTATAAGAGATTGATGGCCGTTATGAAATTCTTTTGTGTATCTTCGCTCTTTAATGTTGTAACCATAAGTGTGGACAGGTTCTTAGCTGTTCATCTTCATCTCAGATATCGAGAGCTTGTGACTCACAAGCGCGTCATTGCAGCAGTGACATCAATATGGCTGTTAAGCGCAATTATTTCTTCTAGTGTCTTTTGGGATCCATTGCTTTTCAGCTCACAAGTCACTGGGCTCGTGATTAAGACTGTTTGCCTTATTGTAGTGGTAATTTTCTACTGGAGGATTTATATAGTCTTAAAGCGACACATAATCCAGATTGAAGGCCTTCAAATCCAAGAAGCGCAACAGGGAGTTCAAAATGGCGACTTATCTAACTTTTGAAGCTTCGAAAGTCAGCTCTTGGAACATTTTTTGTATGTATTGTGTTCTTAATTTGCTATTTGCCTTGCTATATTCTCTCCTTTTTTTACTACTAACTCATTTTGTAAGTCCAATCTCTTTTACGAAGCTCGGCTCTATGTAATGACTTTGTTTTTCCTTAACTCGTCTTTGGACCCTGTTATATACTGCTGGAAGATGGGACCCATTCGTCGCACTCTCATGGACATAATGCGAGGCATCGTCAATCGGTTCAGAGAATAACAGTTCGTTTCTGATACCAGTTCACAATGCATGAGTTAAGAGCCTCGGCCATGGTAATATTAAACTTGATTTGAAAAAAAAATACCTAAGGAAAACTGATGGATGACGAACTTTAACGGTTAGGAAAATTGAGCATTGGAGTTCAATAGAGTCAGGCGTAAGAAAGTATCAGTTGCTAGTTTCAAGCGCATTTTGTATGAGAAATTTATAAATAACTAGAAAGCTTCCTCGCTACTTGAATCATTTTAAGGTTGTCATCAATTCATGTATGTATTTGTACTTGTCGATAGGATAATAAATTTATAACCTTGTTAAGTGTATAGCTTGTGAATTAAATACAAAACCGATTTTTAGGTCGCTTTATAGTGTAATAAGGGCCACAAGTTCATCAGTGTTTTTACTACAGTTAAATATAACCCTCTTTAAATAAAGCCTTTAATTACTTACGATCACACATAGACTTCCAGAATTTAGCTGTGTGGTTTCTGATGTAAAGAATAACGTTAAGTCGGCCAGACCTGATGGTTGTCCATTCGACTAAAAGTCTCAACCTTGTCAACAATAACCCGCGCACTTACTAACTTAGGCAAAGACAGAAGGTTATACATTTTATGCTAATTAAACAAAGTACTAGGAGCTCCACGCCTTTCACTCAGACGGTTAGTCGGTTTTGTAAATTAAGCCTCAATTTTCACCTCTTTAAATTGTAACCTGCGCTAATCACCGTTGTTCTCGGCTTTTCTGGTTTTTTTTCTTTTTTTGTTATCTTCGAACTTTCATAAGTGTTTGTCTACCACAGCAAACAAATACTTATTCAAAAAAGACGATTCCTTTTGGAGATGAAGAGACCTCACATTATATGACGTAGCTTCTTAATAACTCCAGTCGGTGGAAGAGTAGTTGGCTATGTACAAAGAATGACGTTAGACTCCAACCTCGCTCCCAGGAGGAGGCTGGCCAGAGTCAGACCACAGATATCCGGATTGCGAATCATGCGCTCAGATCCACTTTAGTTCTCTCTGCCATTCTAAGAGAAATTAGTGATGCATAAAGTTGACGCTCTTATGGAAATTCTCACTAAAGTCAGTTGTCACTAATAGATCGACAAGGAATGCCAAGATTCCTCAGATCTCCCGGTACAGATCCATCACAAAAGCAAATATGTAAAATTTATATATATATATATAGAACTTTTCTGTCGAAGGAGCACTTAGGCGCGAAACTCAGAGTAACAGAGAAACTCTTTTGACTCTTTCACTTATATATACCCAGCTCTGCTACCACAGTATTTAAGCACTTTATGCCGAGGTAGACTCTACCCCCACATATATATATATATATATATATATATATATATATATATATATATATATGTATGTATGTATATATATATATGGATAATTTAGTGTTAACAACTGAGTTGAAAACGTAAATTGGCC